CTTTCTTTATCTCTTTCTGGCTCTTCAACTGGCAGATATCAGACACAAATGGCCCTGCCAGCAGATCTCTGACAGAAGAGGAATGTGCTGGCAGAGGAGGATTTCTATTTGCAGAAGAGTCTTCTATCTAATCCCAAGACCCCTACGGCTGATGTGTTGTTGATCTGGGATTGCATTGTTGTGTAGGAAAAAAGCTCTTTCAGTAACACTGGCCAACACACATTTTGGTGTCTCAAATATTAGACCTGTTTCTGGGTATATTTGACCTGCTGATTTAAAAAATGGCACCACTTTCCCCCTAACCCCTCTAATTTTTGACATACAGAACATATGCCATTTACCATTCTTCATCTGTTCACCCATAGAAAACCATGGTACCCATATCTAAGAATCTGGAGTTGATGCTATCTACCCAATGCAGTTTTCTAAATCAGTGCCCCAAATAACTCCAGGAACAGGCCTAGAACCCAAGGCACCTATATATGTGTGTGTGTGTTTATATTTATTTATTGTTGGGCTGTATTATATGTGTCTGGTGGAAAGCAGAGAATCAGGTTAGTGACTTTTAAGACTGACCTGTTTTTATTTAGAAATATTGTTAAGTTCTTAAATTAAGAATTCATTTTAATTTTAGATCAAATATTCTGAAAGTGGGTTAAACCACTGAGCTGCTAAAGTTATTGGCAGAAAGGTCGCAGGTTCGAATCTGGGGAGCGGCGTGAGCTTCTGCTGTTAGCCCCATCTTCTGCCAACCTAGCCATTCGAAAACATGCAAATGTGAGTAGATCGATAGGTACCACTCCCAGCGGGAAGGTAACAGTGCTCCATGCAGTCATGCTGTCCACATGACCTTGGAGGTGTCTACGGATACTGCCAGCTCTTTAGCTTAGCAATGGAGATGAGCACCAACCCCTAGAGTCGGACATGACTGGACTTAATGTCAGGGGAAAACCTTTAACATTACTCTCTCTATCTATCTATCTATCTATCTATCTATCTATCTATATATATATATGCTAATTCATTTTGACATTAGGCAGTGAACAACAGTCTGTAGTCTAATTTCTGTAGATTTGCACATTCAGCAGATAATACATAATTGTGAGCTTTCCCATGTAAGGGTTGATGGCCTTACCAATTGTGTCATTTGCACACACACAATTAGCATGTTCAATAAACATTACTATAAATGGAATATATTGTTCTGATCTTACAGCCGAAAGATGTAATATGTAAAGGGATGGAGCCCACTATATACTGTGATGGCAACGAAATCCACTTCAGATACTCTTAGGGATTTTCGCTATTTATGCTAACAGATGTTTTCTATTATGTAATACACCAATGTATTCTGTAATACACCATTCAAAAGGATGCACAAAAACAGACAGGAGAGCAAATGAGCAGCTGGCAGGTGTTAACCAACTGTGGAGATTTTTTTAAGCATTTGTAGGAAGACACAGCAATCGAAATATGTGCTGGTAATATCTGAAGGAGTTAAAATGAAAAATGGAGGGAGGAAGCTCATGAAACCTGATTAATTTTTGGTGCAAAAAAACAAACTGAAGGTAATGGGATTAAAAGCTTGTTTTTCTGAGGCTCAGCCCAGACATGTCACAGTGCTCAATAGTGCTATCGTATTTTGTTTGAACTGGAAAATTGAAATATTGTACCACTCAGGTAGAAGATAACCTTTCGTCTCCCTTTGAAATGCAGCATATTGCGAACTAGCCTTATCAGTAAGAAGACAAGATTAAAGTGTTAAAAAAATGTTACATTTTATATATATATATATATATATATATATATATATATATATATATATTCTACACATTGGTTGGTTCCTTTGCAGGAAGGGATCCAAAAGGCCATGCATTTTCTGCCAGTGATGCTCTGGGGATCCTCCTACAGAAACATTTTACAATCTAGAAATAACATTTTCTACAAGGGCGCAGAAGCTGATAGTCAGAAGTGACGATTCCTGTGTGCATGAATGCACTTTAGATATGTGTACATTGATGCATTTGGGTTCTGGCTTCAGGGTTCAAACAGGCCACTGGAGAGATTATTCCCTTTGCGAGACTTGACCTGTCATTATAACTCTGGAGATCCAGAAGTTGCTATCATTTACTGCTAGAGAATTGCAGTGATGCCATTTTCATTGCTGTTTTTCAGCATGGCTATTCAGTGAGCCCTGATTAGGAAAGTATCACCTAAAAATATATCTTAATAGACAAATAAATGGATTGTAGAACAGATGAAGTCTGAACTCTCCCTAGAAGCCAAACAGATTGGCATACTTTGGATATATTACGAGAATATAAGACTCACTAGAAAAGGTAGTGGTGCTTAGAAAGGTAGAAGTTAGTTGGGAAAGAAAAATATTACACTACAGATGGATAGACACAATCAAGGAATCCATGTCCCTGAGTGGATAGTTGATGATGATGTGACTTGGAGGTCTCTCATTCATAGAATCAAAGAGTTGGAAGAGACCTCATGGGCCATCCAGTCCAACCCCCAGCCAAGAAGCAGGAAGGGTCAACACAAGTCAAAATTGACAGACAGGCGTTGGGTAGTTCAGGAAATTTGAAAAAAATGTATTTATTAATTAAAACCAATTCTAGCTCAACTTCATGTTCCAACCCTTTGTATAAATGTGATCTAAAATGTCAGGACAATGCTGGATACATTCCTTAGGCCAGTCTTGTGTGCAGTCTTAGGTAAACAAATATTAATACTTTCATTGTTACCACCTTATTAACTATTTCATTAACCAGCATGGCTGGAACATAGTTGGGGGATACATGTAGTGAACCTAACATAAAGTAATGTGTAATCAGGAAGATGAATAACTTCTTCTGCCTATCTACTATATCATGGCAAGTCTATCAAAAGTCATTCATGATAGAATAATAGAATAGAATAAGATTTGTTCTTAAGCTTATGGACCTAATTTACAAAGTTTTATTTTCAGAAAGGTGCAAGATAATGTAATTAGAAGAAAAGGCTATGGTGACATTCATCCTGTGTACACAAACATTCATTAGGCACTGCAGGTAGAAAAGGGAAATATTTTTAAAGGATTTTTGAGAAATATTTACTTCACCCACTAAAGTAACAGCTGTTTGCATAAATTCATGAGTCAAAATGATAGTTCTAAGCTGTGTGTGAATCTAAGTATAATCCTTTATTGTAACTACATTTTCTTGAAAGTATCAGTCTAAAATCTAAGCATCAGTGGTTATATTTACAGAGAGAGTATTACAATTTGGCATCAATAATAATAATAAAAAAGTACAGTATTTCTGCTTCTGGCAGCCATACATATTGGGACATAATGCTAGGCATCTCATTAACTGACAAGATTTTTTTTTTTTAAAAAAAGAGAAATTGCCCAAATTGCAATGCTGAGTTTTATGCCATAAATTTAAACAGAATCCCCTATATAAATAAAACAATGAGGTCATCCACAACTGATTAGAAATTTCAGTAGATTTCTCACATTTGGCAAGAATTGGGGTGTTCTGTCACCATTCAACTTGCAGGCAGGAAGGACCTACCATTGGTCATCAAGATGTTTTTTTTTAATGACTTTGTTTTTTCACCTAAATTACAATAGTTTCAAAGTTGAAATTCTAGAAAAGGGGGTCTTAGAAGGAAAAAAGCAGACCTGCAATAAGGCATTAGGAAATAATATTTGAGATCCTAAAGTAAGATTCGGGACAGGAAAAAGACTTTTTAAAAAGGTAGAAAAAATGAACTTCTCTGAGGTTCTGCTGATAAGATTACTGAGTTTACAGAAATGGAAATGGTCAAACAGGAGGCTACAGTGACTTCTTTGACAGATTTTAATTTTGTATCAAAAGCATTGCATAAATTAATATAAAACAGATAAAAATAGAAGACGTGCAGGTGGCTAAATATCTTTTGACCAAAAACGGGCAACAGCAATGGCATTGTCTGTAGCCTCCAACAATTCTTCCTCTGTACATGAGGCAGGGCATAGTGGACAAGCATACAGATGCGGAGTTGTCTGTTCTACTCCACAGTCACATAAGGTGTGGGATTCTTTTCGGTAGTGCCATTTTGCCAGGTTGTCTTTTGTTCTGCCCACTCCACTTCTGAGTCTATTCGGGGACTTCCAAGTTGCCCATTCTTGGTTTGCCCCTGGAGGAAGATCCTCATGGGGGGCATCCAGTTGGGGTTTCCTGGTTTAGCTGCCCAGAGGGATACCCTTGCTGTTGCTGGAGGGAAGCCAAGAGAAGTGGTCATTCTCATAAAGCTTTTCCTTGATTTGAGCCTACAGGGAAGAGGCTGGTAGCCGTGTAGTGGGTGGCTTTCACAGTGTTCAACTTCTCTTACATTTAGCAGCAACTTCCCGTTGTACATCGTGGGGGGGGAGGGGGGGCAATGCCAGCTAGCTTGTAGAGTTTATCAACAGGTGTAGGTTTAAGACATCCTGTGATTATTCTGCATGTTTAATTCATTGCTATGTTCACCTGCTTTACATGGGCAGACCTATACCAAACAGGGAAGGCATACTCTGTGTCTTTGACAGATGTTAGATACAGATCTGCGCAACTCTGGGCACCCTATAGCAAGTAAAGGTAAAGTTTTCTCCTTGACATTAAGTCTAGTTGTGTCCGACTCTGGGGGGTGGTGCTCATCTCCATTTCTAAGCCAAGGAGCTGGCATTTTCCGTATGTGCCTTCAAGGTCATGTGGCTGGCATGATTACATGGAGTGCCGTTACCTTCCCATCGAAGCAGTACCTATTGATTTACTCACATTTACATGTTTTTGAACTGCTAAGTTGGCAGAAGCTGGGGCTAACAGTGGGGGCTGATCCCGCTCCCTGGATTCAAACCACTGACATTTAACCCACCATGCCACTGGGGCCTTCCTATAGCAAGTTCTGTCCTATAATTTGGAATATTGCATATGTACCAACTTTGTATTTCCAGTTTTAAAGAGAAAATGAACTTTCTTTCGTGATAGGTATGGGATGGCACAAAATGTCCCTTCCCTTCCTGGAAAGTGTTTGTTCAAGAAGATGACCTTGAAGGAGATGGCAATCTTATTCGTCAACTAAGAAATCTGACAGTGGACATTTTACTGTATGATAATCATGTGCAGTTGGCAAAATCACTGAAGGTAATGGAACTCTCAGCTAATATGTCTTGGTTTTTGTTAAGTGTCATTTCATATTTGTGTTCTCCTCATAACCATATGGCCTATATTTATTTAAACTCTGTACTTTTTCGTGATTATTCTGTTTGTTTATTTGTTTTTAAAGAATAACCGCACACACAAACTAAAGCTTCTGGGGGGAAATGAAAATATTGTACTAATTGCTTTAAATTGTGGTAAAAGTGAGCAGCTGTAGTACTCAGATTGTGGTATCATGCAATTCTGAGCATATGCAGAATGGATTGTGCTTTTTTTCTGTCTTTGAATACTTTTCTGTAAATGAGAGAAACCATAGTTTAATTTGTAGTCCCTATTATGGGCAATATTTTTATACTCGGTAAATAGGCTATTGCCTATGAAAGCTAGCATTAGTGATTGCTTCATTGAACAATCCATATCCTTCCCCGAGTGGCCCTGCAGTCTTCATTCTTCAAGGGAGAGAGAACAGTTTAATCTAGTTAATGAATGCTTTTGTGCTTCTATATTGGGATCTTTGTAATCAGGAAAATTGGTCAAATGGTTCTTAAAGCAATACGGCTTGCTGTGTTGAAGCCTAAAGCTCACTGTAAAAACAATTTTGACTGATAAAATGAATAACAGGTAGAAATAGGTAGAGGCTTCTAAATCGTATGATCTGGCAACACAGAAACATTTTTGTGCCAGTTTTAAATTGGTTGATAAGAGAGGATTAAATTGTTTTTTTACTATGTCGTAAGGTTACATAGTTTTGTACCAAAGTCTCTGACATAAAAGACCTAACATGTAGTGTTTTGACTAGGACTCTGGGAGACCAGGGTTCAAATATCCTCTTAGCCATGGAAACCATTGGATAACTTCTCTTTGAGGAAGGCAGTGGCGAGCCTCCTTTGAAAAAAATCTTGTTTAGAAACCCCATAATAGATTGATGTTTGAGGTACCAAAAATCAGAAACAACTTGAAGTGACTTCACATTAACATAGCTATTGGATAATGCTGCATTTTGTAAATACCATTGTAAAACTTAACCTTACATTGGTACCTTTTTAGATTGTCTGTGGGTTCAGTCAAAATGTCACATTTCAGTCAGCTACAATTATTCAGTGCTTTAGCTTATCGGTTAAATCCTTGCCTCTATCTGATGTGTTGTTACAATTCAGAGACATTGGATTACTTACTCTTCGGCACTACAACATCCAGAAACCCCTAGGTAGCTTGGTGACTGGCTATGCTGGTTGAGGGTTTCAGGGAATAACATTTCTGAGTGTTGTAATTATGTAACCCCATGTAAAGATCTCTTGTGTATAAGCAGGCTTTTCCTTTGCTCTTGTACGATGCTGGTTCTTGCTGAGGGATCCTCTTGAACCTGATATATATATATATATATATACACACACACACACACACACACACACACAAAGGGTGGGCCAAAAGTCATGAAGGGTTTTCAGTTGTTTTTCATTTTCAGTACCATAGCATCATAGTATATCTTGGAAACAAACGTATATTACAAGTGAAAAATCTTGTAAATGGCATCCAAGACTTTAGCATAACATACAGTATATATATGACTCCTCCAAGACTTTTGGCCCACTCTGTATATCCTCAAAAGGCACACGTATGAAATGCAAGGCTCATGGGCCAAATCCAGCCCACTGTGCCATAATAATAATAGGCAGTTCCTTAACAAAATTGAAGGAAATGTTGATAAGGAGAAGACCTGGTTATGGCTCACTAATGGAGCACTGAAGAAGGAGACAGACGGCCTGATTCTTGCAGCCCAGGAGCAAGCCATCAGAACAAATGCAATTAAGGCCAGGAATGAAAAATCAGCTGATGACTCCAACTGCAGACTGTGCAAGGAAGCTGATGAAACCATTGATCATATCCTCAGCTACTGCAAGAAAACTGCACAGACGGACTACAGACAGAGGTACAACTCTGTGGTCCAAATGATTCATTGGAACTTATGTCACAAGTACTGCCTGCCAGTAGTAAAAAACTGGTGTAATCATAAGCCTTTAAAGTTAGTGGGAAATGAATACGCAAAAATACTGTGGGACTTTCTAATTCAGACTGAAAAAGTTTTGGAATATAATACACCAGACCTTACGATTGTGGAAAAGAAAAAAGTTTGGATTATTGATGTTGCCATACCAGGTAACAGTCAAATTGATGAAAAGCAACAGGAAAAACTTAGCCGTTATCAGGACCTCAAAATCGAACTGCAAAGTCTCTGACATAAACTAGTACAGGTGGTCCCAGTGGTAATCAGCACACTGGGTGCCATGCCAAAAGATCTCAGCCGGCATTTGAAAAAAATAAACATTGACAAAATCACGATCTGTCAACTGCAAAAGACCACCTTACTTGGATCTGCGCACATCATTCGAAAATACATCACATGGTCCTAAACACTTGGAAAGTGTTTGACTTGTGATTTTGTGATATGAAATCCAGCATATATATCTTGTTTGCTGTGTCATACTGTGTTTAAGTACATATTTATTTATTTATATCCCACCACTATCTCCCAGAGGGACTCGGGGCAGCTCACAAAACACTCAAGATGTGAAATGCAAAATCTCTTCTTCTTAGGCGATCCCTCGTAATCTGAGGATGATGGCCCTCCAAGGTTCTGTCGGTGGGTCCGTAGGTGACTAGAGCCCAATTCTTGATCTGCATCTTCTCCCGCAGTGAGGGCATCGGTTTCCAGGTGGAAGGCGGTCCTGGTCGGGATTGGCTTGATGCGCCTTCATCTTGGCATGTTTTTCTCTTTCGCCCTCCATTTGTGCCTCTTCAAACTCCACATCACTGCTGGTCACAGCTGTCTTCCAGCTGGAGCGCTCACAGGCCAGGGCTTCCCAGTTCTCAGTGTCTATGCCAGAGTTTTTAAGGTTGGCTTTGAGCCCATCTTTAAATCTCTTTTCCTGCCTGCCAACATTCCATTTTCCATTCTTGAGTTCGGAGTAGAGCATCTGCTTTGGGAGACGGTGGTCGGGCATCCAGACAACATGGCCGGCCCAGCAGAGTTGATTGTGGAGGATGAGAAATGCAAAATACAACAAGTGCAAAACAAAAGTAGACAATAAACAATCAACACAACATCATAAATTCACAGTACCCCCTGGTAAAAACAATAAAATACAGCAATTGCTGTAGATAAAACAGCAGTATTCAATCTCAGAAGTATAAAGTGCTAATAAAGAACCTAAAGCTCCTCATATATATATTATTAGAGAGTCTAAACATTGTTGAAGGCTTGTTGGAAAAGCCAAGACTTTAATTGTGGCCCATGAGGATTTCAATGCCAAAGCAGCGTTGATACACCTATACAGTCTGACAATGAGAAATGGCCCTTTGAAAGGCTGTTGTGGCCCTCAGTGAAAATGGGTTTGACACCTCTGTCAAAGGTAACTATTGTTTTAAGAATTCTCAGCAAAGGTAGCAAAAGGTAGAAAGGTTCAAGGTATGTAGGGAGACATACGTACATCCACACACACAGTGAGAGAGAAATCCCAGCTTCTTTTTTTCAATCCACCACATCTCCTCTTAGCTCATTTCTTAGCCATTCAATTTCTTTAGAGTTGGGAGACAGGATTTTTGTGTGTGTGTGAGAGGCTTTTTCTCTAGTTTCCTCTGTTTGAGAGTACTCCAGTTTTTTCTGTGGTAATGGGGTATGTTTTTCAGATGATGGGATTTCTTTGTAGCTAGTCTGGCATGCTTTTGCAGTTCATCACCTTCCAAAGTGAAATCAGTTGCAGTGAATTTACCAGCTGAAATAAACACATTAAACTGTTCTTCTCTGAACGATGGCCAGAATTATGGGGTTAGTTTTAGCCATTAAGTATTTGGATGCAGTCAAGAGCTGTGTTTTTCACAGAGAGCTCTCCTTTGCTTTTGATTTTTTCCCCAGGATTGTGTGTTATATAAATGGCTAATCAAATGGTAGGTTACTCTTTTCTATATCACTGTGTTCCCTCTTACAGTAACAGCTGGAGTTTGGAAATTGTGGTTTAATGTACAAATCCTTTTATACACAAATTCAATAGCAAAAGCTGTATGAAAACTAAATGCTTAATTTTATTTTTTAAAATGATAACATAATTGAAAATATGCCAGTGAACACGAAAGCATGCAATAGAAGAAAAATATGGGGAGGGAACCTGGGTGGCAGAGGTACATTATGTTTCATTTTTAAACTGAGAGCATGGTGTGAAGTTATTTTGCAGTACTTTTGCCAACAGCAGTTTATCTAAAGTGCTGTGTTGTTTGAACTTGAATGTAATGCAAATCTTGAATGTCACATAATTTCAGGAATTACATTCTACTTGAATAGGAAATTATGATGCAGACTTTATTTGCTGTTGATAAAAATAGGTTTTGTCATCTAGTCTGCAATGGCGTCGATTATTTTCACAGGTAATATTCTACATTTTCCAAGCACATGTTGCATTCAGTGTAATTTAGTCACACTGGCTCCTGCATGTACTATTGATCAGAATATTTATTTATGGATAGGTTCACCTCAGGGTTTTGGTAATTTGGAAACGACTTCAGGCCACACAACAACTTCTAAGGCAGTTCTTCAACATGGACTTAGTTGTCCCTTCTCTTGCTTGGGCAGAAATAATTACTGGAGAAGCTCCCAGGAACTGTTTACCACATGAAATGTGTGTGATACAGAATTGTTTCTGATATCTACTGTGCCCAAACTTCCCTGTGTTCATGATGTTGGAAGATGCACAATATCCATCCTCAGATTTGACAGGACCTGTGCGAACTGCCTCAGCATATTGTCGAAGGCTTTCATGGCTGGAATCACTAGGTTCTTGTAGGTGTTTTCGGGCTATAGGGCCATGTTCTAGAGGCATTTCTCCTGACGTTTCGCCTGCATCTATGGCAAGCATCCTCAGAGGTAGTGAGGTCTGTTGGAAATAGGAAAATGGGTTTATATATCTGTGGAATGACTGGGGTGGGGCAAAGAG